CCCGTCAGCTGCAATGTTCGCCTTACCTTTCACGTACTTCACGCGTAGGTCGTACCTTTGTAGTTCTAAGGACCATCTTAATACAAGTACCGAGACGTTGTTCCTCTCGAATAATGCTGTTAGAGGTTGGTGATCCGTCATCACCGTTGTGGGCAGCCCGTAGATGAACATGTGAACAGCAAATACTACTGCCAGACCCTCCAAGTCTGTAATATGGTACTTTTTCTCCGCCCTGCTTAGGCTTTTCGATGCAAAGTATGTGGGGTGAAGAAACCCGTCGTCTCCTTGCTGAGACAATACTGCTCCCAAACCTAAGTTGAGGCATCCGCGAATATTACGAACGGCTTCTCTTTTGTCCTGGCTGCTTCAAGATTTGGCTGTGTAAGCACCGGTGCTGAAGAAACCATATCCTTTAACAAGCCATTCCCAAGAATGTTCGCAATTCCTTCACACTGGATGGTCTTGAGTAGTCCTGGATTGCCCTCACTTTATCAGGGTCGGCATGGATGCCTTCTTTGTCAAAAAATGCCCTAAGAAGGATATCTTGTTTCTGAGAAGGAAGCATTTCTGGGCTTTCAATTTCATCCCTGCTTTTCGCATTCTTCCGCAGATCTCCCTCAAAGTTTTAATGTGTTCTGCCTTAGTTCGACTGCTGATAATGATGTCATCGATGTAGCAGAAAACATCGGAGCCCAGCAGTCCTTCCAGTAGCGTGTCCATGAGCCTCTGAAAGACCGCAGGGCTCGTGCTTAGGCCGAAAGGTGTCACTCTAAACTGGAAAAGTCCCTCTGATGTAGTAAACGCTGATTTTTCCTTTGCTGAGTCCGTTAGCGGGATCTGCCGTATCCGCTGCACAAGTCCAGCGTAGAAAATAGCTTCTTCCCTACCAAACTCTGAAGGATGGCATCCATAGTTGCAAGTGGGTAGGATTCCTGTTTGATTCTCTTGTTAAGCTCCCTATAATCCACACACAATCACAGTGAACCATCCTTCTTTTCAACCAACACGATTGGGAATGCCCAATCCGACTTGCTTTTTTCAATGATTTCCCTCTTTTCTAAGTCCTTCAGCAAGTTCCTTAGCCTAGGTCTGACGCTTAATGGTACTGGTCGCGTTTTAAGCTTCACTGGGCTGCTTTCGCCCGTGTCAATGTCCATTCCCGCTATGGTAGTCTGCGTCAACTCATTGTCGTGCACGGCGAATATATCACTGTAGTCATCCAGTAGATGTTCGATTTCCCCATCCAATGTTCTGTCCTCGGCATTTTCTTTCACTAGCTCATGCAGTAGCCTTTTCTTCTCCTGTGCCTTCATGTGGTACTCAATTGGGGCGATTACCAAGGGACTCAAATCGTCCAGCTGTTCTCTCTATTTTTCGCTACCCCAGTGCCCAACCTCTTCATTTTCCTTGAGTATCATTGGCGTGTCTTTGTCATTCTTTACCGGTACTACAGCTTCGTTTCCGGAAATTGCCATGAGACCGCTTTCAACTCCTGGTTTTTGTGACCAGAAAATCCTATCCCCATCGTCGGTTGTGGCGGTTTCACATCTTACTACCACTCTTCCTTCGGCATGCGGTGGTACATACGTTCTTCTTACTACCCTTGCTATTTCCTTGACGTGCTGATTGGGTCTGTCTCGAGGTTTGCCCGATATTGACAATGTCATCCCCAGCTCCTCCAGCGTGTTCATTCCCAGTATGATGTCTTCCTGGTCTTGATCCGTTACCTGAAACATGTCAGGCCCATGGCCACCGAAGCGAAGACCGATTTAGATCAAAGGTGATCGAAGGCGATCGGACGCCAGAGGAGCCGCAGGCCAGATCTCAATTTATTGTTTGTTGTTCCGACGCCACGGAACGGTGGCGTCCGTTTTGTTTCGTTTTTTTTGTTTTCTAATAAACATCTTTCGTCCTTGTTCTTTGCTCGCCTGAAGGGTATCATCCCTTACATGAGGGCCGAGCCACTTTCTGCGAATTAGTAATTTTCGCCGCACGTAAGGGCGAATTTCAAACTCATCGTCGTTCTGTTTTCGCCGCACGTAATTTGTCGTTGTTTTTGGTGAAGAAAACCAACTAAAGTAGTTTTTGCAGAAAGACAACGGAAGCGAGCAAAGGAGCTCAGCCATCGGAGGAGCACACAGAAACAGAGAATGTAGGTTTCTATGCGAGAGATAGCATAGAGAGAAGGATTGAGAGGCTAAGAAAAGATTGGGAAAGGGTACCTGGGGAGATAGCAAGTGAGATGACAGAGCACAAAATTTCAGCCAGGTACAAGGAAAAATACGAGTTGTTCATAAGGGAGAAAGTGAGGGAGTTGAGTGAGGAACTCAATGAAGTAGTAGAACAGTGCCCTAGTCTAGAGGATGAACGGGACGATATGTCCGAAGCCATGAAAACATTAGGTATACAATCAGTTGAGGATTGAAGAGAGTTTGTAAGGGTGGCTGAGAGAAACAGGGAGATTCTGGCGCAAGCATGCAATATGCTTAATACTGATGTGCTTCAGGTGCCGGCAGCCATCCAAGACCTCAAAAACAAGGGAGGTGAAGTAGAAAAAGTCAAGCAAGGTGAATCAGTGCAAATTGCAGTAGGCATAGAGAGGACGGATTATCAAAGAGATACGTTACAGCCCCAGCAGCACAATCCAAGGCGGATTGGAGCGCAGTTCGAACAAAACTTGAACAACTTTGTGTCGGGATTACCCAGTTCGCATTCAAGAGACAGGGACGTAGACTAAGAGGTCAGCAAAATGATTTGCGATTTCTAAATTATGTGGAGTCCCTCTCTTGTCCGGATCCGGGTGTTTTTCATGGGAAGCCCAACGATAATTTCGGGGAATTTGTTAGAAAATACAAAAGAAAGTATTCTAAAGTAATCACAGACACAGACACCCTTATAGATATATTAGTTGAAAATCATTTGGGTGGGCAGGCAAAGAATGTAATGAGGACATTAGCACCCACAATAAGAATTAAAGAGTTTGATGAAGTGATTAAAGAATTGTGAAAAATGCTAGCAGGGGATTCGGTAGCTAATAGGATGAGGGCCATGGCTGAGCTAAGGTCCCTCAGAATCAGACTACACCAAGACCACACCAGTGATATCGTTGGTTCGCTCCATACTCTAAATCTGAGTTGAAGTCAGCTCTACAAGATGGTATCTGAAGTTAGGCAAAAGACTCCTTGGAAAGAGAGATATTAACGACCAAACAGTGTATACATACTTCGGAGACACCTTACATATTTTCAAATTGGGGGAGGCGTGCACATATAAGAAGCCCAAAACGAAGAGTTTATTTCATTGACTATATGTACATCTCTATCCAAATCAGCTCCAAAATGACATACTTATTTCAGAAAAAGCGCATTTGCACAAACACAGTCAAACGATCCGTTCCACATCAGGAAAACTGAAGATGACGAGGATGACATCGAAGGAGGATCTTGACGACCAAAATCTCATCGCATAACAGTATCTCTTTACGTCTCATTCTTGAACATTTCTTATTATCACCATGCTGACCAGGAGAAATGCACTGAAGGCAGCATTCAGAAGTCTGGAAACATGGGGATCTCACGTGGATAGTAATTTTTGGGCTCTGACTAAGCCACTGCTCAACCGGCAGCTCAAGTAGTGCTCTAACGGCTGAGATATTACCCTCGAAACTAGACCCCGCAATCGTATCCCGAATGGATTCATGGCGCAAAGCGTGGATCCTGGCGCGAAACTGCCATGAATCCATGCGAATACGATCGTGGGGTCCAGTTTCGAAGGGGTTATCTCAGCCGTTAGAGCACTAGCTGCTTGGGCAGTGCCTTAGTCAGGGCCCCAGAAGTTCTTTCCACGTAAGATACCCATAGGTCCAGATCTTCCTGGACGCTGCCTTTAATCCTGTGGCTTTGTCCTTGTGCTTTCATTACCTTTCCACGTCTCATTATTGAACATTTCTCTTTATCACCATGCTGAGCAGGAAAAATGCGTTAGCTCAGCGGTTTTTTCTTGTGCTTTCATTTTTTTACACATCCACCCTGATTTCACGCTTATGGGACGCACCTTTTTCCGTTTTTCATGCGTGCCGCTCAGTCGCCTCATTGTGTTTCGAAAACGAGACTTACGCCGCACAATACTCTCAAGCAATATGCAGCACTGCATGTAGTTTATTGGTCGCGAAGTCCTTCGGCGTGTCTGTGCTGTTCGATTTTAGAGAAAAATCACCCGCGTCCTATACGCGTAAAATTATGGTACTACTTGAAGAACTGAGGTCACCCATTTCATATCGTGTATAAATGTTGTGAAAACTTTTTGATAAACATCCATGTGACTACTGGTAAATAGTACTGAAGGCATTCCAGAAATCCTTAACAGAACAGTGATGCGCAATTTGCGCCATGATCAAATATCACAACATCAGCGGGTCTCGCGCAGGAGCTCAGAATTTCTCCCGCTCTGCATAATGGTGAGAATAAGTTGTCTCGTGCAGGAACTTCCCGATCAAAATACCAGTGTCTGGAAATTCTCGCGACGGATCTGATTAAGTCCCACAGTCATTCTGTCGCTACATGAGTTCTCTATGGCACGATTCAGCCACGAACGTCTGAGTGCTCAGAGAATAACTGGCCAACGCTGCGCAATGTTGAAGAAAGCGATCGCGATAGCCCGAGCCACCGGAGCTGTGACACTATTGCTGAGACAGCCAAAGGGACGTTATAACTCATATTCGATCGAAAACAAAAACTTCGCCTATAGCACCGTACTTCCCCTGACTAGAAACGTTCATACAAACATGGTACACCAAGCAAAACAGCCGCGCGAGATTCGAGCCGCTCGATCGGCGACACCAGTGAGATAGAGGGTAAAGGCAACACAAAACCATAGCGCTGCGAAACATGTTTATCTTGGAATAATCAGGGTTGGGACATATTCCGAATACGGGTAACTAGTATGACGCCTCCCCTCATGCAGAAATTTATTATAGTTCAAATAATGAAGGTTGTACTAACCGTTGTCGAATCAACTTCGCAATTAAGAGGTCTTTCCTCATTATCCAATTTAGCCACATCAGCAAGCATCAGCAAGTTATCTGAATCCATTGATGGTGAAACGACAGCAGCGCAAAAATGATCTAGAATGGCATAAGTAGCAAACAATGAATGTAGTATGTTTGCGGTGCCAACAGCAGTAAAATTTGTTCGTGAACGAATAGTTAAGCTTGTGACGCCGCCACTTGCGCACACACTGCCATAGCTATTTGTTCACAAGCAAATTTTATCGCATTTTTTCAACACCGCAAGCAAACTACCTTGTATCAAGTAGGAAATCTACTCGAATGTTTTTTTTTCGATTTCATATTCGATAATCGAGATTTTCAAATATTCGTTGGTCAAATAATATTCAAAAATCGAATTTTCCGAATATCCGATTTCGAAAATGGAAACTTTCGAATATTCGACTTTTGAATAACATTCGAGTATCGAAAATCATTCGTTATTTGAATTTCGAATATTACCCGATTCTCGAATATTATTTGATTTTCGAATACTAATTGAATATTTAGTGTCAATGAGATGATTGCTTATGAGAGATCAAAACACCTAACAATCAATTTTTTATGAAAGTATTAAGAATAAACACTTTTTCATGTTGCAATTTATAATGAATGCAGGGCTTAGTAGTGGTGATGTCAAAAGACTTAAGGACCTAAAAGCGTACTCCCATGAAGGTTATGAAAAGATTTCTATTTCAAAGAGCATTTATACTCCACTGAGGTTGTGGTTTAGAATACAGGCTTCTAAAAAGTATGTAACTGTGGGCTGACATCAACTCAGCAGTATAGGGCGGCTAATCGATTGCTTCTCACTATTGTAAAATTACAGCAGGAAAATCGAAGAGAGTTTTGAGACATCAAAAGCCCCACTTTGCCCAAAAATGGAACCAAAAAGGCCAAAAACCTTACATTAGGCTTCTGGAAAGACTCATCTTATATATAAAGCTGAATGTCTGTTTGTCTGTCTGTATGTCTGTATGTACGTATGTTCCGAATAGAAAATTCCATTTCTGAACCGATCGGGACCAAACTTGGCACACATACACTTCGGGCCCCGGCGGGTGTCATAGGCTACTTTTCGTCATCGATCGATATCGATTTTATCGATTTTTTGCAAAGTTTGAGCTACAGGGGAAGTTGGCACAGGGGGGGGAGTGGGCATGCTGATTTCGAAAACAACACAGCGAACGGGAAATGAAGTGTAGAAGTGCGCACAAGAAAAGGCTGTACAGGGATAGGGATGGGATCTTTATTACAGTGTTTTGACAGGGCCGAGCGGAGCCGGGTAAGCAAGCTAATTGGATATAAAACTCGCACCCACCTGTAATGCTTTTTCACAACTTTGCAATGTAGATGGTTTTCCATGTTTTTCAAAAACGTGATTGCACATTTGAAAGCTTGAAAACTCATGCATAGTAAAACCAGCATACGTAAAAGATTCGTTGCACAAATTTCAAATCTTTTTTCGGGTTCTTTCAATGTCTTAATTCGCAGTTGCTCTTATTACATGCTGGAAGTTTCTACCGTAATCCTTAAATAAGTTGCTGTACATGAGCCAAAACCATCTATACACGATACGCAAAAGTTGGCAAAAGATTCGCGAGAGAATTAGCGATCAAACAGTGCCTAGATACTTCTAAGACCCCCGCATACGCTATGGATATCGAATTTTCGAATATATTAGGTTGTCCCGAAAGTTTTGTCCGTTTTTTCAAACCACTGTAAAACCACGCACAATAAAGATCTGAATAAGTCCCAACATGCATCCGATGCAGCTTTTCCTTCTCTTTCTTGTGGACACATTTTCGAACCAAAATCTTTTAGGCTGCGCAAAGCATCACTGTCTATATTACATGTTTTCACGATGCACCGCAACAAATTAGCGTTGGAGTAATCGTCCATGCTTTTTAAAAACGGGTCCCGGGAAAGGGGGTTTCAGGAAATTTCACGTAATTTTCAGTTCGGATTTTGAATCAGGGAACCAAAAGGTTCAAAAAACGCCGAAACTGTGAAAGTCGAGATTTTGCCCGGACCGGCCTTTAGGAGCATGCTGATTACGAAAAAAATATTGAGAGCAGGAAACTGGCGTATGGAATGGGGCAGGGGGAGACAAATGTACAGAAATAAGGAATGGTTACCTATCGTAGTGCATTGACATGGACGGACAAAGGCGGGTATGATGGGTAGTTTCCAAATACGTTAGAATGGCGTCAAATAGTAGCCAATCTGTGAATGTGTCAAGATGGTTCTCACCATTAACAAAATTCTTAGGACATTGAAACACTACACATTGGGTGCCATAATCTCAAATAACGGTACAAACTATTGCTTGACATACAACCCAGGGCCCAGCAAAAGGTGGCATTTGAGAGTTTCGAAAACGAAGTCCCCTCTGACATTGCAGAAGATTACGAGATACCTTTTGTGGTATTTGTAAAAGCACTGCTAATAATCTACAGCGAGATTAGTAAATGGAAGTTAAAGGCAGTGTCCAAGCAAAAAGTCGATTTTGAGATTTTGTGCTTACAAGGCCCTCTTCGAAATGCTGAATCCGAAAATCAACATTGGAGGAAGCGAAAACGGCGAAAAAAGGCTTTAACGGAGGAGGGAAGTTGCTGGTGGGCGGGGCTGTTCACACAGTGACTCACTCTCTCCGCTTCAGGAGCGATCTTCTCGCTCCTGCTAATCGCGCTAACATCACCACCAGCCAACTGCGAAAGGCATGACATAAAATCGGAACCGAGAAGATCGCTCCTGAAGCCTGGGAGAGCGACGTCACGGTGTGAAAGGGAAAGGCCCCGCCCACCTCCGATTTTCCTCCTGCATTAGGGCATTTTTTCGCCGTTTTCGAGCTCTCCAATGTGGTTTATCGGATTCAGCATGGCGAATAGGCCCGAGTAAGCACGGAATCTCAAAATCAACTTTTTGCATGGACACTGCCTTTAACACGTTGACGACAGTGTCGCGCAATGGTGCGCGACAGGCAGTCTGTCCCTGTGGACGATGTCGCGCAATGGTGCGCGACACCCTAAATACCAGTTCGAATGTGCACAATGGTTCCAATTTGTGTTCATATAATCAGTTTAGGCTCGGAAGTTTTTCATGTTGGCCCCGCCCCTCTTTTGGCAAACTCCGCCCACTCCGTTGCCCTGTACAAAAAAACTTTTTCGTTCTTAAATCGCATAGAAAAGCTCGTAGATGACTGGGGAACCTCAAATAATCTTGATTTTGACCCCGCGCCCCATTATGCAGGCCCCGCCCCCTGAGTGGCAAGCCCCGCCCACTTTTCAAAAATGCCGGAATTTGCAGGAATTCATTGATTTTGAGCAATTTCCAGCATTTTTAAAAGTGGGCGGGGCTTGCCAAAAGTGGGCGGAGCTTCCCCGCCCACTTGTATTTTTGTACTTCACGCATAGATGCATACACACATATATGCAGCCGGCTGTGAAAATGCCTGGAAACGGTTCGTCCACAGGGACAGACGTCAAAAAAACAGCTCGTCGTCAACGTGTTAAGAATAACCAAGAAAAATCAGAGATAAAACAACAACAAGTGAAAAAAGGCGGTTTTCATATCATTCAAGGGCCCTAGCAAAGCAGAAGAGGCAAATTTGGGTAAGATAAGTATCCGTAGGTAGAGTTCGAACTGAAGAATGGAATTGTGTGAACAATTTTGAAAAAATTATATGAAGAAGGCAGAGAATTATGACTTTGTCTGGTTCCGCGCAACCTCAGGCTGCTTCCAGGTTGCGCGGGAGCAACCTAAATTAGAAAAACAGTTACAGTTCCTTTCATTCACATAATTTTTTTCATAAGTTTTCATGCTTTCCTTTCGATCGTCGCTGCGGAGATATACACCAAATTTGGTGGCTCAACATTGCTTACCGGTTGTAAACGGACTGATAATTTATTTATTTGTGCATAAAAATTGTGTTTTAACACGTTGAAATTGTGTGCAAACAGGTCTAAGTGCTTGTCTTGTTTCTGGCGTGTTAATCTACCGGTTATTGTTGAAACGACGTCGGAGTTGAAATAAGGGCTTAGAGGGTTAGCTTTGTGCTTGCTAACATTGTATCAGATTTCTGGGAACCATCCCTAAAAACATTACGAGTTCCCTTTTCTTTTCTCTGAGAAGAACGACATCCAGCCTGTGAGCGCTACCTCTGCCAAGCCCTGATACAACCCCCTGATACACTAAGCAAACCTCTTATTCAAACAAATCCCTTTCTATGCAGCTTGCATCTATGAAAATAGATAGGAAGAGAAAACGTAATAGGAATACAACAACAAAGAAGAATCTTGAAAATGAAGCCGGAAAATAGCTCCCTCTCAAAGAAAAGTCCTTGAAAATCCATATAGGTAAACGAAGCTAAATAGCTGTAGCTAAGCTAACAAGCTAAACGAAGCTAGCTACATTTTCAAGATTCTTCTTCGATATAAAAAAGTTCAGCTGTTCATGATGAGCATGTGAAAAAGCGGCTAAACTACAATAAGTGCACAGTACACAGTGACAGAGATTCAAATAACCGATACTAAAACCCATCGACATGCATAAAAAACTACAAATTCAGGTAGCCATTGCTCCACGAGATAGGATGTCTAGCACACAAAAGAATCACGTAGAATTATTTTATGCAATGTTGAAACGCATGTAGTGGTTTTATACTATTGACTGACAATTGACAAACAGCTTCACATGATTAATTGACGGATTACCAAATGGCTGCATTTGTTTTTCGTAGCAGATGTAGCGGTGGTTAAGTGGTTGAGTGATATCGTCGTCTCCCCGGTGTATGTTGGGCGGAGCTTTTGCGGACATTTCAACACGTTAGTGAACTTGTTAACTCTCTACTACGAGGCATTGTTTGTGATCTCTCGCTACCAACCCCGCCACGTGTGACAACAGTATATAAACATGGCAGGTTAAAGAGTACAAAGAACACGCTTTGAAGTAGAGGCTTGACAAGTTCACCAACGTGTTGAATTGTACGCAAAAGCTCCGCCCAACGTACGCCGGGGAGACGACGATACCAACAAGATAGTGAGTCGCGAAGAATAACATAAGTGAAGGAAGGGTGAAAAGCGAGAACGAAACTTAGGTACTTATGAAAAATTTGCCACCTCAGAGATGAGTGCGCGGCATAAGGTATACAGTGGCACTTATGAGCATATGTACAGGGCCCGGCACGCGTTGGTTTGGAGGCTTTTAGAAAACGAAGTCTTCCATGACTTCGCAAAAATTTACGAAGTCCCTCTCGTGTGAAAATCGGTAGAAAAGCCTTATTCAACCAAAATAGGAACAAAAAAGCGAAAAAAGCATTTTGAGGTATGTAATATAATAAAAAAGCAAAAAGGAAACATTTCGAATCGATTAAAGGCTCTGCCATTGGGTATAGTACCATTTTGATGCTGAGAATGTCGAAAATCTCCTAGGCCAACCAGATCTGTAGCCTCAACAATCCTGCGATGCATTTTTCGCCACATATTTCAAAGGACACCGCAAGTGATTGGAGCGCGATAACTATCAACGCGTAGAATTATACTACTTTTGGCTCAAAAAAAGGGGAGAGGCAACGGTTTGACCCGCTCTCTTCACTATATGACAGCTTTTTGACCGTTCTGATCCAAATCAAAAAGGTCCAAAACTTATGTGAACTCTCCGTATGCTCTGAACCAACCCATTTGGTTTGGTGGTTGGTCTAGAAACCAACAAATCCGAGAACGGATATTAGGACACATAAGTTTTAGGAACTTTTTACATAACATAGATGGAGTAATACTGTATACACATAGCCCAAATTCGGAGCCGAGGAACGGAATTTATCTACCCAGAGAGGCATGCCGCCATGTAGTTAGTAGGGTACATGAGAGGTCATGAATGGTCAGCAACGCTAAATTGCACCCAATTTGTACCGAAGAAAAGCAGGTTTTGCTCACGACAGATACGACATCATCCTACAGTGTACGAAACCGGGATTGCATTGAAATTTGAATTCAAAGTTCAGTAGTGAAATTAGTCCAACAAGGGTAAGAATTTGTATAATATTTAGGGGTAGTCTGCCATGCTGGTTCCAAATATGATGTGGTTTTGCGTGAAAATGAAACCGGGCTTCGTGATAGGATCAAAATAAATGTTCAGTGGCGAAATTTGGCAAATCAAAATAAAAAATTGGATTTGGTGGTTTCTAAGGGCGCTCTTTACTACAAAATCCTCAAATCTTTTTTCCAAATTAGGTTCTGGAAGCACCGAATGAGAATTTTCAGCAAACTTGTCTGAATTTTTGTGTTCTTTGTAAACAAAAAAAAAACTGTCTTTAGTTTATGAAAAAAACTGTCCTTGTATTTATGAAAAAGTCAAAATTTCAAAAGAAAAAGTCCTTGAAGTTTCCGGAAAAACATTGGCACATTCGAAAACAGCATCATGGAAGATCCTCAAATGACAATTTCAAGCTTTTTGCCAGATTTTGAAAACAAGATTAGAGTTCAAAAAGAAAAATTTTTGAGCTTTTACGCAAAACTACCATCATATTTGGAACCAGCATGGCAGATTACCCCTAAATACAAATTTTTACCGCAGTTGGGCTAATTTCACTACTGAAGTTTGAATTAAAATTTCAATGAAATCCCGGTTTCGTACACTGTAGGATGATGTCGTATCTGTCGTGAGCAAAACCTGCTTTTCTTCGGTACAAATTGGGTGCAAATTAGTGTTGCTGACAGTTCATGACCTCTCATGTCCCCTACTAATTACATGGCGGCATGCCTTTCTGGGTAGATAAATTCCCGCACCCTTCGGAGCCATGTGATTGTTTGTGCGCTGTAAACAACCATTTGTTCGTTTGAGTTTTGCATTTGAAATTCGCGCGCTTGCGAAAGAACACGTTCAACTCGTGAAACCTGACATGTTCGTCGTGTTTTTTTTGGCGCTTCCTCCAGGACCTCATAAAAGCGATGTCCCCGTTGCTTCTAACTCCAAAAACGAAATCCAGTTTGACCCCAAACCATCGGGTGCCGAGCCCTGCATATGTAGATAGCCAAGATGGATAAAGAAAATCTTGAAAAATTAGAGCAGACATCGCGAAGCTAAGATATACATGATACAATCCTTGTCGAGACTATGCCTCCCAGAACTTGCACCCTATCCCTCCATCCGAACAGGTTCGATCGAGAATTCACCTCGTACACTGGAAAAAATCTACGAAAAATGAACAAAGGACTTTTTTGCAATAAGCAATGACAGAATAGTAACGGTATGAAAGTGGCACACTGAAGCTGCTGAAAATAAAATTTTAGAAAATGTGGCGTGTTAGAATGTTGAAACTTTTTCGAAATTACACAGATAATTGGAAAACTGAAAATATACAGAATGTCCCAAAAAATGTGCCTACTGTTTGTTGTTAATTTCTGCAATGAAGTTTTTCGAGAAGCTTTAGATAGCATATCGTAGAGCTGGTTTCAACTCAGATATATAGTATAGAGCAAGTCATCGATCACTCTTCCTTACTGTAACGGTACAAATTGCAGCTGCAATTAAGCTGCCTTTGTCACTGTGAAAGCTGCCTTTTCAAAAATTTTCAAAATAAGTAATAGGATTTCTATGAATGCTGAATTTAATGCTCAACTATGCACAAAATAGCAAAGCTTTCTAAACGTTATAACTGCACTTTCTGGAACATTGAAAAAATGACCGGCGCTACTTACCTCGCATAACTTTTGATGTCCGAACTTCATATTTAGAGTCAGCAACTCTGATTAGCCCAGTGTGAAAATTTCCAGGTTGTTTCGTTTGCCTTCTGAAGCAAAATATGCTTTCATGGCTCAAAACCCTCTTCAAAATTCCTATTGTAATCCTACAGCAATGGAAATCGGTCGGTGATTCTCTCCATACCTTAAGTTTAAGTTGAAGCTAGCTCTACAAAACGATATCCAAAGCTTCCCGAAAGACTCAATTACAAGAAAGTTATTAACACAAACAGTAGGCACATTTTTTGGGACATGTATATTTATAACAGACTTATGTTCCATAAGTCTGTTAGTTAGTTCATTTCTGAGTTTTCGCTAATAAGTAATACATTTGTTATTATGAATAGACATTGTTCGTTCACATAATACCGTTCGATAAAGCAAAGCAAGCTTTATAAGATGGCATTTATGCTTTTGCACCAACTTCCATCCACCTCGAGTTTGAAACCAAAATCTAAAAGTGTCGGATGTCCAGAAAACTGGAAACTTTTGATATCTTAGCTCAAAAAAGTTCTAGAAATATCTCACTCGCTGCAAATAGAGGTGCGATAGTACGAGCCGTCCCCCTACCTTCACCTTTGAGCTGGTACAGGGTGACCACTTTCACTTTTAGAATAAAAAATTTCATTGCTGGACGATAAAGAAGGAAATTAAGCAAAGCAAATGCAAAAAAGATCATTGAAAGCATATTTTATGTATACAGCGTCATAAATGTATAAAATAAACGTGCTTATCAAATAGTGTATTTGAAAGTAGAACTCAGCGGAACTGTACGTATTTTATTAAATAAATTTTGTTATAATGTACAGCGAAGAAAGTAGATCGATCCAGGCAGTAATGGCCGAGAACCAGAATTTTGAATAATTAAATAGTGAAAAATTATGCGAAATTTCCACTGTTATGAATCTGTTGTTTGAAGATGTCAGCAGTTGCGACTTCATAGGTTTTGAAGAGTAAATGGTGCTCTATCAGATATTGAAGGATCGAGTCGATTTGAAAGATAGTCGTCGAAAACCACAATTCTAAAAATTTACGCCATTTTTGCATGTTTTTTGACAGCTGAAAGTTAAACTCATATAAATCTTGAATGTGAAAGTACGTGATGTTGCGACTTCATAGGTTTCGTAGAGTAAGGATTGCCTTATTAGAATATATTAGGTTGGCACATAAGTTTTGCAACTTTTCCCATAACTTTTTTCCTATTTTATGTAGCAATCTCATTTTCTGGCATCATGTAGATCGTGATGTAAGCTGCAACTCTGCGCAAACCGTTTGATTTTTGATAACGTAGTACAAAAAATCTAAGCATTTTTTGAAAACTGCTGAAAATCGAGGTTTCACGATTTTTTGGCAAACATGAAGCCCTACGAAACCTGATTCAAACATATGAAAAAGCAATTATAGGCAGCATGTAGCTGGAAGTTAACACATTAAAATCAGTGAAAAAGAAATGAAATTTAAACACAAATTAAGGTGGGGCACCTTTGAGAAGTTAAACAAGTCAAATGCGTCAAGTTTTGAAGGCAATTTGTCGATAACTAAGCTGCGAAAAATCAGAATTCGCTATAACTTTGCACTATAGGGTAATCCTATGCGATAAACACGAATATCATATTCATTTGTCGCTAAAATGAAATTTATTTTTTGATCTCACGAACGAGGCCTTTTCATGCGAAACGGATCCCATTTTTGTGATCAGCATGTCAAATAAGCCCTATTGGCCAAGTTTCAGCAAAATCTGATGCATTCTAAAATTTTTCCCATAGTACCGTAAACCTACCGTAATCCTTACATAAGATGGTAAAATTCGGCAAAAATGTGTGCATTAGAAGCTTACATCATGTTCCTTATGTTGCCAAAAAATGGATGCGCTACGTTCAAATAGACAAAAGTTATATAAAAAGTTGCATTACTTATGTGCCAACCTAATATTAGAATATATCTTAGCCAATCCAATCCATTGAAACAGCGCCAAGGTCCAGAGTTTTGAAAAAGCAGGTAAAAAAGCGCTTTTTAAACTTCAACAGCTCATAACTTCTCCAGAACTGCATAAATCATGTTGCGACTTCATAGGTTACATTCTTCCCATCAAGAGCCCTCAGATGATACATAACATGTGAAGGTTTGGGGCCTCCTACGAATTGAGCCCAGGGGGGGGGGAGACTTTTCATTGCGGCTTCCCTCCAATACATTAAAGTGGGCTGGGGGAGACTTTGTGATGAAAAGTCTCCCCCCCCCCAGGGCATATCGTAGGAGGCCCCAAACCCCCACATGTTATATATCATCTGAAAGCTCTTGATAAGAAGAATTTAACCTATGAAATCGCAACATGATTCATGCAGTTCTGGAAAAGTTATGAGCTGTTAAATCTCAAAAAGCGCTTTTTTACCTGCTTTTTCAAGACCCTGGATCTCGGCGCTGTTTAAACCGGTACGGCTAAGATATATTCTGATAAGGCAGACCTTACCCTACAAAACCTATGACGTAGCAACATCACACACTTTCACTTTCAAGATTTATATGAGCTTAACTGTCAGCTGTCATTAAACACGCTAAAGTGGCGTGATTTTTTAAAATTCTAGTTTTCGGCGACTACAGTTGTGACCGTGGAATTTGTCCAAAATTGCGGGATTTTCGGGATTCGCGAAATTTTCGGGATTCGCGATGTTTGCGGGATTCGCGACTTCACGGGATTTGCGGGATTCGCGGAATTCGCGGGACTTGCGGGATTTAGCTATAACTTCTTTTAAATCCAATTTATTTGCAATCTGCGTGTAGATTTGGCTTCAGCTTGATGAGACGAATCGTTTGATATACAGTATGTCCTAATTCGTGGTGAGGGGGTAGACTTACAATGATGCCTTGTTGTTTTCTATGTTAAGGCTTTTGTGAACATTTATCACAGCGTAAATCACGAATAGCAGGTTCTGGTACGAAGTTTCTATTATCGAAAACTATCGCGAAAAATTGGGCAGTTTTTATTTACCCTTATCACTGATATAAGCATTTTATCATTTATCTTCTTATATATAAAGCTGAATGTCTGTTTGTCTGTATGTCTGTATGTATGTCTGTCTGTACGTATGTTCCGAATAGAAAATTCCATTTCTAAACCGATCGGGACCAAACTTGGCACACATACACATCGGGCCCCGGCGGGTGTCATAGGCTACTTTTCGTCATCGATCGATATCGATTTTATCGATTTTTTGCAAAATTTGAGCTACGGGGCTGGGAGTGGGCACAGGGGGGTAATCGAGCATGCTGATCAACCCCGTGGGGGTGATCAGCATGCTCGATTACACCCCCTGCCAAATTCCAGCCCCCTAGCTCAAATTTTGCAAAAAATCGATAAAATTGACATCGATCGATAACGAAAAGTGGACTGTGACACCCGCCGGGGCCCGAAGTGCATGTGTGCCAAGTTTGGTCCGGATCGGTTAAGAAATGGAATTTTCTATTCGGAACATACGGCGGAGCCGGGTAAGCCAGCTAGTCACTGATAATATCACATTTTTGGATCATTTTTTTGCTTATGGTAAGGAAAGTACTGTAGGAAAAGCTGTGTGAATTTCTATCGCTTTTTCTCTCATTATAAGTGATCTACAGGCTTTTCTAGTTCTATTGCTCGGTGCAATTGGTAGATCCCTCACTGCAGCAATCGATCGATTTTTCATCGGCACATGCCATTGCTGCCAATTCTTACCTAGAATGGCATTTTTGCTTCAACTCGCTTCACGCCGAAGTTTGGGCTGAAATTCTGCACCTATATGGAAGATGAACGTGGAAATCGACCGCATGAATTTAAGCCATTCTTATCTGTTGTTGTCATTGATATCATCATTTTATCATTTATCACTGACGACACAAAATTGGATCATTTTTGATATACAATAAGAAATGTACTTTAGACCGCTGTGTGAGTTTTTATCGCTCTATCTCTTATAGTACAAAACCACTCACAGAACGTGCAAAATTTCCGGGAATTCCGCGAAATTCATGTGAATCACACAAAATTACCCAGGCCCATAACTTCTTTCCGAAAGAGTATATTAAAATCCGAAAACAACGTTGTATTCAGCTCGTCAAGGCGAATCTTTTGATGTACAGGTTGTCTCCAATATCATGTTTTCAATGACCTTGAATTTGCATGCCGACGCCTCTTCGCATGGGTGTAACGCAACAAGCATCACACATAGGAGACTGCCATGGGCACCGTTCGATAGTACTCTTTCACTAGATTATCGTGCGCTAAACAGCAGCCGAAGGCTTTCTTTCAAAAGAGATAGAAGAGCTGATAAACTCTGGAAAAAATTAAGCTGTTCCAAGTTCTACTAGCCGTAACTTTCTTTAGAATGAAAATTTCGAAATCAGAAAGCAGATTTGTGTTCATCTTGTCAAGTCGAATCTTACTGTATACAGCATGTCCTTGAAATTCCGTTTTCAATTTTTTCAAAATTTTCTGCGCGCGTATATTCACAAGGTCGCAACGCAGCGCACATCAAACATAAAAGACTCTATTAAGCACTGTTGGATTGTGCTGCTTCCGCAGATTATCGAGCGCTAAGAAGCAACCGGAGAATCTTCTTGAAAAAAGATAGAAGAGCTGGCGAATTCTGGAAAATCGTGTTGTCTCAAATTTTGCCCACAGTCACCCTAAAATGAGAAGCTCTACTGCTAAAACAAAATATTGGAGACAACCTGTATATCAAAAGATTCGCCTTGACGAGCTGAATACAACGTTGTTTTCGGATTTTAATATACTCATTCGGAAAGAAGTTATGGGCCTGGGTAATTTGCGTGATTCACATGAATTTCGCGGAATTCCCGGAAGTTTTGCACGTTCTGTGAGTGGTTTTGTGCTATAAGAGATAGAGCGATAAAAACTCACACAGCGTTCTAAAGTACATTTCTTATTGTATATCAAAAATGATCCAATTTTGTGTCGTCAGTGATAAATAATAAAATGATGATATCAATGACAACAACAGATAAGAATGGCTTATTCATGCGGTCGATTTCCACGTTCATCTTTCATATAGGTGCAGAATTTCAGCCCAAACTTCGGCGTGAAGCGAGTTGAAGCAAAAATGCCATTCTAGGTAAGAATTGGCAGCAATGGCATGTGCCGATGAAAAATCGACCGATTGCTGCAGTGAGGGATCTACCAATTGCACCGAGCAATAGAACTAGAAAAGCCTGTAGATCACTTATAATGAAAGAAAAAGCGATAGAAATTCACACAGCTTTTCCTACAGTACTTTCCTTACCATATGCAAAAAATGATCCAAAAATGTGATATTATCAGTGATAAATGATAAAATGCTTATATCAGTGATGAGGGTAAATAAAAACTGCCCAATTTTTCGCGATAGTTTTCGATAACGAAAACTTCGTACCAGAACCTGCTATTCGTGATTTACGCTGTGATAAATGTTCACAAAAGCCTTAACATAGAAAACAACAAGGCATCATTTTAAGTCTACCCCCTCACCACGAATTAGGACATACTGTATATCAAAAGATTCGTCCCATCAAGCTGAAGCCAAATCTACACGCAGATTGCAAATAAATTGGATTTAAAAGAAGTTATAGCTAAATCCCGCAAGTCCCGCAAATCCCGCGAATGCCGCAAATCCCGTGTAGTCGCGAATCCCGCAAACATCGCGAATCCCGAAAATCCCGCAATTTCGGACAAATTCCACGGTCACAACGTCGATTTGAGAGATACACCGTCAATTCCACGATGTATCTCTCAAATCGACTCGATTCCTTCACTATCTGATAGGGCACTTACTCTTCAAAACCTACGAAGTCGCAACTGCTGACATCTTCAAACAACAGATTCATAACAGTGGAGATTTCGCATGATTTTTCACTATTTAATTATTCAAAATTGTGGTTCTCGGCCGTTACTGCCTGGATCGATCTACTTTCTTCGCTGTACATTATAACAAAATTTAATTAATAAAATACGTACAGTTCCGCTGAGTTTTGCTTCCAAATACACTATGCGATAAGCACGTTTATTTTAGATATTTATGACGCTGTATACTTGAAAATATGCTTTCAATGATCTCTTTTGCATTTGTTTTGCTTATTTTCTTCTTTATCGTCCAGCGAAAAAAATTTTCATTCCAAAACTGAAAGTGGTCACCCTGTACCAGCTCAAAGGTGAAGGTAGGGGGAGAATCGGCTCCCACTATCGCACCTCTGATTGTATACTACAAGCCCTGGTACGGCCGTATGTGGAGTCTTACTTTTGCTGGGCGTAAGCCTGAAACTGACGCTCGCTGAAAAAAAATTATTTGACGAGCGCCTGCGGAAAATTACGTAGCTGCCTGCTGGCAGAACATGCGACAGTAAGTATAGTTCGCTGAAGGTTACCCCAGGCCACAAAATTCTACTGACCGCTTGCAAGAAAGCACGATTTTGTGGTCCACCTGCCCCGGCGATTATCTAAGTAGTTGCGAGAATAAATCTCGATGAGGAAGTTGCCTCATTTGTTTTGCGCGCAGTGCAACAGAATCTTAAAATCTAGACAAGACGGGAACCATTTGCCGATGTTAACATCGGATTATTATCCAAGATTAACAAAAAGAAGATTTTCAAGAAAAACACATACCATCTCTAAGAGACAATGAACCGGGTTTCACTATTCCAACGATTTTGATGATTTATGAACCTTATGGTAAATGGCGCAGCAAGCAAAACCAAGCAAACATTCAGTATCATCTGTAAATAGTATTTTCAAAGGGTTGTGCATGAAGATCTTGCAATATATACCGATGCTATCAAAAGGTCGCGAAAGTTGTGATGATGGTATTCGCACGGAATTGGGCACTGAAAATGTGGAACCCAAGTGATCACATGATTGGATACCTAAAGAGAGGGATAAAGCAAAACGCCTAAACGAATCGATCCAGCACAAAAGGCGTAATCTGACTTCAAACCCACACTGCTGATCCTTTCGCCAACCACTTTCGCAACTTGTAGGACGGTAGAGTAGGTAAGTATGTCATTCGGATGTAGCTGGCTCAAAAGAGTGCGCTCAATTTCAGAAGTAACCTGCAATTTACTCCATTAAGCGAGCGCCACGCACGCATGAGCTAAATTGCTCAAGTACAGCAAGTCTTAACGCAGCTAAGGAGGAGATTGGATGGGCGGGCGTCCGCCTCGCAACGGTTCGCACCGTTTTGCAGCTCCAGTATACACATCGTGCTAGGAACCCATGTCTGCGTCTCTTCATCCCCAATAATCTCTGCTTGGCAAAATGCCAGCGCCGTGCGCTCGCAAAACCTCCAGTGATGCGGAAGCACTGCTTCACTGAGAAATGTTGCCTAGTCCGGGGTTAAAACAGACTATAGTTTACTTCCATTTGAGAAAATAATTGAAAATTCAAACCTAGACTCGTAAAAATTCAAAATAATTCTGAGAGTTCATCGTGGGCCGCTACATCCCCGAAAAATTTGGGAAAATGTAGAAAAGGGACAGGTCACTTCGTGTAGGCACAGTATACTTTGTGCCTATACAGGTAGGTCCAAAAGTCTGTGTCGTTGTCCGGATCCTGAAAATCGTAGAACAAAAGTGAATAGGCGCTTCAAACTGAATTTGATGCAGATTTAATTTTATATTCTGATTTGTAATTTTCTTTCAATGGCTATGTTTTCAGAGTGTTTCTTTCAAAAGGGTTTGAATACTCTCCAAAGCTTCCAACATCAGCCCATCGTTCCTACCTTTTCCTAATTGAGCTGATTAAAAAAAAACTCCTTTCACCTTTTTGAAACGTCGACGTTTTTTAACGAGATGTTGTCTTCGCATCTCTTCACCTTATTTTTCACAATTTTCAAAAACAATCTTTTAGAAGGCATGAAGATGGAAGAAATTACTTGAATCACCAAATTACGCACGGAAACGGATAAAAAAGTTCAGAAATTCATAATACTACAACTAATTTTACTGACAAGGGAAGGATAATCGGTCGAAGTGGCCATTTGGAATGAACTGTATATTAGGAAACCGTCCTCGGTAAGGCAAACTCAAAACTACTCTTGCTAGGGGCCGAGCGGTTTTGTGGAGGGAGTTACAAGGCCATTTTCCTCCGGCGCAGCCGGCGCACCCAGTGATGGGCGAGGCGCTAGAACAACGCAGGAGTGTGGTAGTGCCGCAGTGGCAAGAGAGTGGACTACGAAGCAGATGGTCGAGGGTTCGAGTACTGTTGCTGCTATTTTGTTTTGCAGTTCTGTGAAAAGTCTATTGTGTGACAGTAAACGAAAAATACTCACTTCTAAGCAGTTAAAACAAGCTGTTTACTGCAAAAAAGTCACTATTTCTACAATAATTGCTGCTGATTGCAATCGATTGCAATTTTGTAAGTGCGCGCGCTGCGAAAAAGCTTTTCTGCTTTGAACATTTTGTGGTTGTATTCCATACATGTTAATATATCATTTGAACCCATTGTTGTGACATCATAACCTCCACAGATTCACATATTGTAAAAGATTATGGCTTATTGTAGAAATAGTGACTTTTTTGCAGTAAATAGCTTGTTGACTGCCTAAAAATAGTATTTCTCGTTTGCTGTCACCCAATAGACTTTTTACAGAACTGCAAAACAAAATAGCAGCAACAGCACTCGAACCCTCGACCATCTGCTTCGTAGTCCACTGCGTTGCCACTGCGCTACTGCCACACTGATGCGTTGTTCTAGCACGCGCTCATCACTAGGTGTGCCGGCTGCGACGTAGACAAATGGCCTTGCAACTCCCCCCACAAAACCGCTCGGCACCTAGCGAAAGTAGTTCTGGGTTTGCCTTACCGAGGACGGTTTCCTAACATACAGCTCATTCCAAATGGCCACTTCGACCGATTATCCTTCCCTTGTGAGTCAACAAAAGATTTATTCGACTTTGATTCATCATAACCCTATCTAGTAATGGTCATGGTCAAATGCAATAAACTACGTTACAATCAACAAAGCTTTGAAAATTACATGTATACTCAAAAATTATAGCAGCAACAACAAGAAAGCTTTTTTGACAAAAATCATAAACATCTTCTTTCATTGCTCTACAGAACCAAACTCTGATCTGCAATGTAGCCACTTGTATAGTCAATAGAGGCTGAGCAGTTTGCTAACCTTGCATCATCGGAATTTCATAAAAATATTTTGTAAGAAAAAAATTATAGCAGGAAATAGAACATAGAAATAGAACTTTGAATAGAACATCTGCTCCTCTGATGGCACAGTATGCTTTTTTTGAATTTTCGAATGTTGTTCGCCGCCGACAAACGGGAGATTTTTTTGGCCCAGCATTAGATGTTCTATGGGTGCGTAGCAAGTGGTACCTGGTCGATCAACTGCTGCCGCACTCAGCCGCCAGAGCTGCTGGCAAATGCAGGTAGTATAGTATTATGCTCGTCGTTTAAAACTTTTGCCAAGAGGTTTTCTCAAGAGGTACAATATCAGCCTTAGGAATAGCGTGATATCCTAATCTATTAGGTCGTTCCGAAAGTAATGTCGCTTTTTTCGAATGAACGCCACTATTCGTGGAATCAACATTTCTAAGAGATTTTGAAAGCATTCGATGCAGCATTTCATCCTCTTTCTAACGACTCTAATTTCACTGCATAATGTTTAATGGGCTCTCGAAAAATTACCGAAATGACTCATGCTTTTTGCCATGGTCAACGGCTATTTTTCTAAATTTTTGTACCCAATCTCCGAAAAAGTACAAGTGGCAGGTAGATAGAGCAAACACTATAGACTACAAAGTAATTTTTCCTTTTCCTTAGCTTGCTTCTCAGAGTTTCTACAACCAATTTCTCAATGCCATCAAAATTCATATTTAGTCAAGTCAAATCTCACAGAACAACAACCGGCAAGCGACTCGGGTGTCATTCGATGCAGCTTTTTCTCCTCTTTCTAGCGGTTGTTTTTTGTTCCCGATTCATCAAGTTTTCCGGGATAAAATCATCATAATTCACCTTTTCTAAGGCACCCCAAGGTGTACCCGAAATTTTCGAAAGTTGCTAAACCGAAGCGGTGAATGCTCTTTGGTTTGTAAAATGTTGCCAAACCGTAATCCATCTTTGTAAGTTCCAAAATCCGAAGACTTGTTAACGTTTGATGCACTTGTGTCTGAGACGAGCCTGCTAAAATTCGGTGGTTCCATCAAAAAATTTGTACAAAAATTATGACGAGCTCTGAAAAGTGGAAAAAAGTTGTGCTGTTTTCTGTACGGTTTGCTCCATCCATCCACTACTTGGACTCCTGAGGTTTGTTATAAAATTTTAGAAAAATTGCGAAACCTGGCCATCTCAAAAAGCATAAGTCGCAGATTTTGACTCTTTTCTGTAAGCTCATTGATTGTATTGCAACAACTTCATAACCATTAGAATGAGAATGAAATGCTGCATCAACTGCTACCAGAATTTCTTACATATCTGTTCCACGAAATGTGGCATACGTTTGAAAAAAGCGACATTACTTTCGGAACGACCTAATATATCAATATGAACAGCAAAAAATCCATGATTTCTTGAAAATTATGCGATTGAGCAAAGCTATAGAGTAGGGGTTTTCTGAAGGAAAACTGTCACCACCCACTTTGAATACTCAAATATCCAGAACAGCCACTGTCCTAGACTCTTTGGCCACCTCTTTCCAGCTAAGCATAATTCACACTGATCGAGCTGTTGCTTCATAAGTTATGATTTTTTGAAGAAAATGTCAAAAAATCAATTTTCTTGAGAAACTGATTTTTTGGCATTTTTTCTTGAAAATCATAACTTTTATCAAAAAAGCTCGATCAGCGCGAATTTTGCTCAGCTGGAAAGAGGGGATCAAAACCTAAGATACTGGCTGTTTTCGATTTTACGGCACACTTTTGGATTTTTTAACGGGCTTGCTTAAAAATTCCGAAATTAAAATGAATTCCTTTCCCCAATTTTATCTCTGCATTCAGAGCTTAATGAATAGCAGCCAACTCAGTTTTAGAAAGCACATGAATTGCTCTTTCTAATATGGTTTTACTCTTGCAAAAACATTGTGTTAGGAAGAAGTTACGATTTTTTGAAAATGGTGGAACAGAACTTTTGGACCAACCTTATATATTAGGTCGTTCCGGAAGTTCTTTCCGTTTTTTCAACCTATCATAAAAAGGCGTAGAATGAAGGTAGGGAAACGCTTTGGGCACTATACGACGCAGCTTTTCTTCCTCTTTCTAGCCATCATACTCACATGTCGCTTACTCTTGTGATCACTGAGGTAATGGCCGAAATTTCGAGCCCATGGTTTTTCCCATGTCCAATTTTGGCAATTTTTCACAATCTTCTTTTTTGACTTTTGGGAAAGCTTTGATAACAGTCAGATAGAGTAAACAAAGTGCAATTTAATGCAATTTTTCGGCGATGATAGCTAACTTCAAAAAAATTTTAGAATTATTTTCCTGATGCTATCAAATTCCATTTTTGAGGATGCCAACAGCCATATAAGACGGCGCACAACTAAGGTACCATCCGATGCGGATTTTCCTTCTCTTTCTAATGAATATATTTTCTTTCCAATTTGTGGGGCCTTTGGCGATAAAGTTCCCATAATTCTTGATTTTGAACCGGCCCCAGCCTGTACACGTAAAATGCGAAACCTTATATTTCCAAGCGGTAAACGCTCAGTTGCTTTCTAAAAATTGTGGATAATCTAATTGACTTTTGAAAGCTTCAAAATCCGTAGATTTGCCAGTGTTTGGGGCGTTTCTGTATTTTGGGACTTTGCAAAAAAGAAGACCTTTGGAAAAATTATCTCAAAAAATACTGAAAGGCCAGCTGGGCATGCGAAGAAAATTGCATTGTATTGCACTTCGTTTACTCTATCTGGCTGTTATCAAAGCTTTCCCAAAAGTCAAAAAAGAAGATTGTGAAAAATTGCCAAAGTTGGACATGGTAAAAACCATGGGTTCGAAATTTCGGCCATCATCTCAGTGATCACAAAAGTAAGCGACATGGGAGTACGACTGCTAGAAAGAGGAAGAAAAGCTGCGTCGTATAGTTCCCAAAGCGTTTCCCTA